TATTAAAGATGAAGATTAAAATGCGCTTCGCTTCCTTTGGCCTACTAAAAATGGTAGCAAACAATACCAATACACGCGACTTATCTTTGGTGCAAAATGCTCACCATCCATTGCCATCTTTGCGCTTCATCAAACAGCTGCCGATTACTGCGTAACCAAACCCATTATTGCTCAACTGCTTCACAAAAGCTTTTAAATGGACGACTTTGTTCACTCGTTCAACACGACACACGAGGCTAGAGACTCTACTACGCAACTAAAATCCTCCCAAAGACAGGGGGGATTCAACCTAACTAAGTTCGTATCTAACACTAATGACGCGATCTACTCCATTGATGGAGGCGAAGTTTCTACTAATGCTACAGTGCATCGTGTTCTGGGTGTCAAATAGGACACAACTGACGATACGATATTCGTGCAACCAACAACCAAGCTAAATCATACTACAACATCTACACTCCGAACAGCTCTCTCTACAGTAGCAGGGGTTTTCAAGCCCATAGGCATCCTAGCGCCGTTTGTCATAAAACTCAAAATTCTTCTGCAAAACTTGTGGAAGTCTCGTATCTCTTGGGACAAAACCGTGCCCAGTGACTTTGTTCCGATAATTGACAAATGGGTTGACCGATGCAAACAAGTACCCCCTGTTAGACTGCGCGCTTAGTTGGTCCACAGCTGTCACCTAGTGATATACAGCTTCATGTTTTCTGCGACGCGTCGCAAGACGCAATGGCTACGTGCATCTACTTCCGAACTGCTTGTAGCTCTGGCATACACGCTATTTTCTTGATTGGCGTAACAAAGGTAGCACCACTGAACCAAGAGAGCATTCCTAAACTGGAATTACAAGCCGCCCTTATGGATGCTCGGCTATGCAAGTTCGCTACTGATGAAATGCGATTAAAGCCCCACTCCACTCACTTTTGGACGGATAGCACTACTGTTTTGTCCTGGATCGCTTCACCTGGTAAACTGAAAACTTACTGCGCAAACAGAGTTGGTGAAATACTTACTTGATGCAAAGCCGAACAATGGAAACACATCCCTGGTACACTCAACCCAGCAGACAGTGCTACACGAAGAATTGAACTTAAAGACGTAGCAAAGCTCTGGTTGGATGCACCACAATTTCTACTCAACAATGGGCTTATTTGGGGGACCAATGAAATAATGGAACAAAGTAATGCAACAACGGTTAGCCCCTCAACTACACCCTTAATCGATTCTTCCAGGTTTTCAGATTGGTTTCGATTAGTTCGGGTCACAGCTCGGGCTATTGTTTTTGTCGATACACTTAAGGGAAACAGTAAACGTTCTACTACCACTATGGAAGACCTAGAAAAAGCTAAGCTCCTCCTTTATCAACAGTACCAGCAAGAAACCTTTGGTGACACCTACAATCAACTACGAACCAAGCAACAAGTTGAAAACAAAGACAAACTGCAACAGCTGTCACCTTTTCTCGACAACGGTGTTATTCACAAGCGAGGACGACTACGAAACTCACCTTTACCGGACGCAACAAAGTATCCAATAATTCTTAACGCAAAGGACCTAATTGTGCGTATGATGATCGAGAGCGCTCATCGCCGCTGCATGCACCACGGCACTGAGTACATTCGCAACTACCTGCAACAAAGTTTTGTCATCATTGGGCTCCGAAAAACACTCAGACAGATAAGACATAACTGCTTTCTCTGCAGAAGATTCCAAGGCAAAGGGCTACATCCACTCATGGCCGACTTGCCGCCAACTCGTTTCGACGATCCGTCTGACGACCCATTTCCGTTCAAAAACACAGGAATTGACTATATCGGGCCATTCTACATAGCAACAAAGGATACAACTGAAAAAAGCTATATTTGCCTCTTCACAAGCCTCTCTACTCGCGCGGTTCACCTGGAATCGACAGACAACCTTACTACGAACAACTGTATAACGGCAATTAGACGTTTTATTGCTAGGAGAGGCACACCTAAGCTTTTAATCTCTGACAACGCTACTTACTTCGTCGGCGCGCGTAAAAAACTACGCTCAGAACCAATCAACTTCAACGAAACCACCCTAACTGAAACGCTACAAATCCACAATGTTGAATGGCGCCTAAATCCTCCGCCTGCCCCCCATTTTGGCGGCGTGTGGGAGTGACTCGTCTCAATGATAAAACGAGCATTCTTACTAAATCTCGGTTCTGATCGACTATCAAGAGATCTATTTGCTACTATCGTAGCCGAGACCGAGGCAATCCTCAAATCACGTCCGCTAACTCATGTCAGTAGCGACCTTGACGACGACCTTCCACTGACACCCAACCACTTCTTAATGGGTCGTCCATTCGTCTACGCTCCAGCAGCAGCCTTCTACGAAGCATCTAAAAATAAACTGTCCAACAAGTCCTGGAAGCGAGCAAAAGATAGACTTGACAGCTTCTGGAGGCGTCTACTTAAAGAGTACGCTCCGACTCTCATCAGAAGGACTAAATGGACGCAACCCGAGGAACCACTCAACTCCTTCCCCTTCGGTTCCAAATAAGATCTCCCTCCCCCGAGGATATTCATGACATGATTTGTCTCACATGAATTAAAGAAAAATGCGGTAAAATCTTTTAATAATAGCATGATTTGTTCCGAACTAATGAGTAATAAATTTGACTTCAACAAAGTGACCTTTAAGATATGTTCAACAAATTGTCTTAAATACAATTCACACAATTTACAGTTTGCCCTCGTAATGATTATGCTTGAACTCCCACTAGTGTTCTTGGACAACAACCAAAAGTTGATCGAAGATTTTACCGTGTTGACTAGAAATTTAATAAAAAAGTAAAACATCCAGCCAAAAACTGAGAAAGTTGAAAAACTGAAACAGTGACAGGGGTTCTAGCATTTCTAGCGCAGTGGTAAAAATTCTTGCCTAGTAATCTTATAACTGCGAGCTCGAAATTGCACGTGAGCCGTCATGTCTACCTCTGTAATTCAGCTATAGCTCAGATAAGCCTCGATAATTTATACTTAATGCCACATTGCAGGCAATATCGATTACCTTTGGAAATTAAATAGGGCACAACTATACCATTTTATGTTTATTAATTTTTGGAAATCAACGAGGAACTAAAATTCTACATCGGCATGAGCATTTTTAGGTTAGTTAACTTCGTTCAGATACGTTGACCGAAAAGGATATTAATTGCCAACAATTTGGCATTAACTATAATTTCGGGCTGATTTCTTTTGTTGCTCACCTTAAGGTCCCATAGACTTGCCTTTTGGATGATCTCTTTAGTTGTTTATTTTACTTTTGGACTGATCTCTTTAATTGCTTGCCTTATGGTCTCCTGGACCGGCCTTTGGGATGATCTCTTTAGTTGTTTACTTTACTTTTGTACTGATCTGTTAAGATGCTTACCTTAAAGTCCCCTGGACCGGCCTTTGGGAAAACACTTTTAGTGGTTTACTTTACATCCGGGCTGATCTCTTTAATTGCTTAGCTTATGGTTCACTGGACCAGCATTCGGGATGATCTCTTTAGTTGCTTACCTTACTGTCCCCTCGACCGGCCTTTGGGATGATTTTTTGGTTGCATTTTACTTTCGGGCTGAAATATCTACTTGCTTACCTTACTGTCCCCTGGACGGGATGGCCTTTGGGATAATCTCATTACTAGCTTAATTTACTTTCGAGCTGATCTCTTTAGTTGCTTCATTAAAGTTCCCTGGATGGGCTTTTTGGGATGATCTCCTAAGTTGCTTACCTTGAGGTTCCCTGGACCGGCCCCGGCTTTCGGAATGACCTCTTCAGTTGCTTTTTTTTACTTTTGGGCTGATCTCTTTAGTTGCTTACCATAAGTTCCCCCCCGGACCTGCCTTTGGGATGAGGAGATATTCGTTCCTCAGAATTCCTTACCTTAAGATCTCCTGGACCTGCCTTTGGGCCGCGGAGTTCTTCGTTCCTCAGACTTCCTTACCTTAAGATCTCCTGGACCTGCCTATGGGATGAGGATGTCTTCGTTCCTCAGACTTGCTTACCTTAAGGTCTGCTGGACCTGCCTTTGGGCCGCGGAGTTCTTCGTTCCTCAGACTTCCTTACCTTAAGATCTCCTGGAACTGCCTTTGGGATGAGGAGATATTCGTTCCTCAGAATTCCTTACCTTAAGATCTCCTGGACCTGCCTTTGGGCCGCGGAGTTCTTCGTTCCTCAGACTTCCTTACCTTAAGATCTCCTGGACCTGCCTTTGGGATGAGGAGATATTCGTTCCTCAGAATTCCTTACCTTAAGATCTCCTGTACCTGCCTTTGGGCCGCGGAGTTCTTCGTTCCTCAGACTTCCTTACCTTAAGATCTCCTGGAACTGCCTTTGGGATGAGGAGATATTCGTTCCTCAGAATTCCTTACCTTAAGATCTCCTGGACCTGCCTTTGGGCCGCGGAGTTCTTCGTTCCTCAGACTTCCTTACCTTAAGATCTCCTGGACCTGCCTTTGGGATGAGGAGGTCTTCGTTCCTCAGACTTGCTTACCTTAAGGTCTGCTGGACCTGCCTATGGGATGAGGATGTCTTCATTCCTCAGACTTGCTTACCTTAAGGTCTCCTGGACCTGCCTTTGGGATGAGGAGGTCTTCGCACTGCAGACTTGCTTACCTTAAGGTCTCCTGGACCTGCCTATGGGATGAGGAGGTCTTCGTTCCTCAGACTTGCTTACTTTAAGGTCTCCTGGACCTGCCTATGGGATGAGGATGTCTTCGTTCCTCAGACTTGCTTACCTTAAGGTCTCCTGGACCTGCCTATGGGATGAGGATGTCTTCGTTCCTCAGACTTGCTTAGCTTAAGGTCTCCTGGACCTGCCTATGGGATGAGGATGTCTTCGTTCCTCAGACTTGCTTACCTTAAGGTCTCCTGGACCTGCCTATGGGATGAGCATGTCTTCGTTCCTCAGACTTGCTTACCTTAAGGTCTACTGGACCTGCCTATGGGATGAGGATGTCTTCGTTCCTCAGACTTGCTTACCTTAAGGTCTCCTTGACCTGCCTTTGGGATGAGGAGGTCTTCGTTCCTCAGTGACTGACAGTGTTCCAGGAAGCTGCACGGTTCGGTGAGGGACTCCACACACGTGTCCAGTGCAGAAAATACAGTGTCTGCATGTGCGCTGAAATCGTCACTGTCTGCCAGTTTGTCCTGGTTTGTGACGTCATTGGGGGATAGTGTCTGCAGATGTCGGGACAGGTACTGCCTTGATGAAGGGCATTTGGCAAAAAATCTGAAACAATCATTGCAATCAGTAAACTTATTTCTTGGCTCTTCTACATTAACCCACTCCCATGCGAATTAAATATTAATTTTACGATGCTATCATTGATTTTCCATAATAGAGGGGTGTAAGGACTAGTCAATTGATTTTGAGTCGACTCAAATTAAAAAGAATCTATTGATTTTTTTAACCATTTTTAGCATTAAAACCGTGCTGGTTAAGGTAAATTTATAATTCAGTGAAAACAGCCTTCTAGATGAAATTTTTACGATATTCCACTATTGATGTTTTTCATAGATTTTAAGCGTTGGACCATTCTGAATGTAACCGAGTTTTTTAGTTTTCCACGCAAAATCAGGTACCACAAATAGTGATCGGAATGAGTCGAGTGATATATCATATTAAAGCCCTTTAATTTTCGATTCGAATGACAATAGTAATGTCGAAACGCTACCCCAAGGTCGAGAAAAACCTGTTTGAAGTATTCAAATTATATTTCACGCAAGCGAGTGAAATATAATTTCGAGCGAATGTAATTTCGATTGTTTGTTACAGAAAAATTGATATTTTAGGCTAAGAAAAGTTGGTTTTATTTAACAAAAACAAGTTTTTGAATAATCATTCAGCGCTTCTTTGGCAACACTTTTTTTCTTAGAAAAAATTTAAAAATCATGGTGCAAACAATTAGAAACATTTATTCATTTTTGAGACAAGTATTGTCGTTTATGTCTAATTACTAACTTTCTATTTTCATTAAGTAATTCTCTCTTGACCACGCAAGAAAAACGGCACCAACTTGAAGAAAAGAAAAATTGCATATTTTTGTACTTTTTTATTAATATGAATGGAGCATTCTGCCCCCGGTTTTATCTGAAACTTTAAACTACAAAAAGAATCGGTAACAATCCTAATTTTGGTAGAAGTAAACTTGATAATTTTGTCTGGTTTCACTGTTTTTTTAATATGATTTAGTTGCTCCAAGCTGTCTACTTAACGTATTTGCGTTTAATTTGAATTTGCTCAATTGCACGGTAGAAAGAAAGGAAACTTACGAAAAATTATAAAAACTAAAATTTGAAACTGTTTGCTTTCTTTTCGGGTCGTTTTTGCATAAAAATTGAAGTTTTGTGAAGTGCTGTATTGCATATTGATTGAAAACGTGTGTTGAACAACTTAATAGAAAATTTCTTTCGAATTTAGCAATTTTTTTTTCTCTTATAAGGAAAATAGCAAGTTCCGGTTATGAATTCAAAGTGAAAGGGAATTCAACAAAAAGATAGTTTTTCTTGTTAGACTTTTTGCAATGAAAAGTTTCAGAGAATTCATTAAGCCGTTAGCAACCCTGTTTGTTCATATTCCGGATGGAATCTTACTTTTCTTAGATTATTGATTTTTAGCAGCTGAGTTAGTTTTGCCTTTTCATTGTTTTCTTTAAAATTAGTCAATATAAACAAAGAAGAGCAAAAAGGTCGCAATTGTGGTATATTTACTCTCATAAGTTCATATTGAGTATTTTTTGAAACAAAAAAATGACGAGCAAACTCAGCTATAAAACCAATCTTGAAAAAATATAGCCAACGGACAGTTGGAAAAGAGTCAATGAACGCAAAGAACACAGAAAAAAAATAACATGAGTTTTTTGAAGAAAAAAAAACGTTCTAGTTTCAAAATACACAAAAAGATAGCGTTAAACTTATTCGAATTTCAGGAACAATTTGTTATTTGCATGTTTTTGATAAAACTATTCTAATTTGTACAAAAAACAAGATCAATAGGTAAAATTTTATTCCAGCTGGGAGGTCTGATAATTAAATTCCATCTTCAAAATTAGCACTTTTTTTTACTTTTTATTGATGTTGAGTTGGCGTTCTTTTTACCAAAAGAAAAGATGCAAACTTATATAGAAATCAAAAATCAAGCCAAAAAAAGAGTAAATTTGAGCCTGAACAAACTTCAACACTTTGGCTGAAAAACTTTAAGTTACTTTACTTTTTCATTGTTTTTAGACTTGCGCAAAAAATAATGGAGAGCAAAAACATCGCATATTGATAAATACGCTCTCCTAGGTTTATTTTGTGTAATTAAAAAAAACAATGAACAGACAAATTAACTCAACCATAAAATAATTCGAAAAAAAAAATAATAATCCGGAGGAACAATTTGCCACAGTTTACTAGCACTATCGAATAATTTATGGCAAACTTCAGATATTCTCTTTGACATTGTTTCAGATCAGACGTAATTTAGGTAAAATTAAAATGACAAAATCCTAATATGTTAAAATTCTATCCTTCAATTGGCACAAAAATCAAAAATTCTTGTTAAAAATAGTTTTTGTAACATTTTACGGCATTTTTTATGATACTTTTACAACACTTTTTTGGAAACTTATTGTTACACATGGCATAATTTTTGAGATATTTTATGAAGCAACAAATGAATTAAAAATTTCGGAAGAGCAAATTGTCATTTTTTTTTGGCTGAAAACTTTTTTTTTGCAAAATACTATTCGGAAAACCTGTCTGCTTAGTGGCTTCTAATGTTATATAAGCGTTTTAATAAATCAAATAAGTTTTCAAAAAAAAATCGAAAAAATTTTAGCAAATAAAGCTTATCAATTTAATTTTCCGACGATTTCCTTTTGTTCAGTGCTTTATTAACTATTTCAAAATTAAGTCACCTTGAAAATCTTTGGCGTATATAGTAACAGAAATCTTAAACTAATTTTGTCTGATTTTTTAAAACTACGCGCGTCATAATTTTTCACCAATTTCCTTTAGAAAAACCGATCCGATTAATTAAACCGCTTTTATAACTTAGCAAGACAAGCGAATAAAGCTTATCAGTCTAATTTTCCAACAATTTTTTTGTTCAGTGCTTTATCAACTATTTCAAAAATAGGTCATATTGAAAAACTTTTTAGTATATATCAACGACAATTTTCAACTAATTTTGTCTGATTTTTTAAAACCACGCGCGTCATACTTTTTGCCAATTTAGTTTGAGTCTTGTCAAGTTCGTTTTTCGCTGAAAAATTGAAACGACGGATAATTGCTTGGTGTCAGCTGTCGCACACTAATGAAATGAAGCTCATTTTCCTTCATCAACCGATATCATTTTCTTTTTAATTTTGGAAGTGATGTTTTTTTCTGAGTTAGATCCAATGCCGCAAACTTTTGGTACATTTTTTGAGATAAAACTTAAAATTGATTTTAAGTGCTTTAGATGAAGTTTTGTCAATCACTACTTAAAAGTTAGATAACAGTTAAATGAAAATTTTTGTTTTAATGTGACCGTTTACTAAACAAACATTTTCCATTGCAAAATTGCAAAATTTACATCTTTGAAAATTTAATCGAGTTGTCACGCCTGATTGAAATTTGCTCAATAAACAAGACGCCAGCCGTCAAATGAATTATTTTTTCTTGTACTTTATTGGTAAACCAGTGTCAACATAAGTTCGTTCCAATTTTTCCTTTGAAAGACTATATAGAAGAGAATAAGTTGAAAGCAGCAAGCAAAGTAGGTAATTTATTTGGATTTGGGTGGCACTAAAGAGAGGAAAACGTATGCCTTGGGTGGCTTTTTGATTGAGACCATTTAAAAATATATATTTTAGCTCATTTAGGGTTTCGATAATCATTTAGGGATTCGGGCTGGAGGGTTGCTTCAATATCAGACTGCTTGGGCAATTTGAACCGAGTCTTGCTGAACTTCTCGTTTTATACTTTGATGCTGATAGTGTACGCAACTTATTTACGCATGACGAATTATCCCACACTACAAAATTGTTCCAAATTTGATTGAAGCAAGCTAATTGGTCGTATTAATTTCAAACACGATTCACCTTACAATACTTGATTTTATTAGTTTGTAGTTCATAGTTTGTCGATATTTTATTAGCCAAAAACTATTTGAGACCAGTTAATGGGGAGTCGCAGCATTCAGGCTTTGTCCCGATACGAGCAGTCTTGTTGTTAGAAAGTTGGTCTCTTAAAATACCACGCGTCGCTCAACAGTTGCTGAATAAATGCAGAGCAAAATAGAGAGCAACTGTTGAGCGACACCAGGTCTTTTAAGAGACAAACTTTCTATCAGACCGAATTTTCGTCGTTTAGTTCCGAAAAGGAACTGAGCGACGAAAAATAACGTTCAATGAGTCATTTGAAACGTTAATTTACTCAAGCGCGGCACTGGCACTCAAAGACCGCTTGCTACGCTTGGCTTCGCTGCGCTTACATTTGGCACAAAATGCATACTGCACATGTAAAAGTGATTGTCGCAGTTTCATTTCAAAGTACTTGAGACTCAAAAAAGAAAAAAAAATTCCTAGAGAAAGAGCAAAATAATTGTCTTAAATCAGACTCAACGGCGTTACTGCATCTTTCAATCATCTATGTCTATCAAGTCTGGAAAATAACAGTTGCAATCAGGGGCAGATCTGGGATTTCTTCGAGGGGGTGGCGGATTTTCAAAAAAATTCGAAATTTTTTTTTTTAAACGTGAGTCAACTGAAATAGCTTCGGTGTCAATTCTGGAATTGAAAATCAGTTTATTATTTGTGCCAGGCAAGGCCCAGCATACCAGATATTAAGCTGACAAGAACAGATGAAAGATTTAATTCAGAAGAATCAAAATATACAAACAAGGATTATAATTTATTAAGTCACTCAAATAGATCAAATGTAATTTACGACATGTCGAGTTTTAAGTGGTAGAAGCGAGTTTTGCTTTTGGTGGTATCCGATATTTTGCTGTGGGTGTTTGTAGTTGCAGGTCAAGCTTCAATAAGTCTGGATATTCCCTGTGATGTGGGCTACTGCTATATTCCTTCCATGATGAACGTTTTGGTTGGCCAGTTTCCTCACAAGTGTTGCTCTTTCTTCTTGATTTGAGCAACCGTTCGAGAAGGTTTTGTGTATCTCTGTGTATTCCTCCCAGTGCTCCGAGTTGGACTGTACGGACAGACGTCTGGTGGCCGTATATGTTGAAGGCACATTTCAGCGCCT